GAGTAAAAGAGAAGTGGGAACAGAGGGACGTGAAGACGTGTAGGCTCTCGAGCGCAAGTCAGTCTCGATGATCCAGGCTCGATCAACGCGGATGCATGTTAGGCGGTAAGTCAGCAGGAGGCGTCAGTGTGATGCGGGGGAGCACGGGGCAGGCCAAGACCCGGCAGGAAACGACCGAGCCCAGTGGCAGTAGAGCACGGGGACCCCGGAGGTCAGACGGAGGGGAGGAGAGGAGAGAGGAGAGAGAGAGAGGGGGGGGGAGAGAGAGAATGAAAGTCGATGATACGATCCTTTGCGAAGATGTAATCAAGTCTAGTTGATGGCATAATCAGTTTATGAAGAGGAAAACCTGACGTCGTTTCACCCGCAGATTGATGGAGAATCTCGGTGAATTTTGATTACAGCTCTCCGTCTTCGGCTCAGACGTGCAGTATAAAGATGTCTTCACGTAGTTGGACCGTTCTTCTCGTCGTGCTACTCGTTCTTGATGTACATTTTGGTTCCTGCGGTTGAATAGTGTTGATTTCTCCGCAGGAGATTTCCAGTGAAATGAATGTAGCATACCGCAGCCAGGCCGATGTGCTCGATCAGACCTTCCGATATTTTGCCGAGATGTCTGAACTGAACAGTGCCATGCGTTGCAATGTAACTCTTTCTCTTTTGCTTTTTGCATTTCTGAATTTTTTTGCACTCAATAGACGCACTTGTTTCTTCAAGACGTGGCGAGGGATGTTGCTGAAGCAACCAAGCATGGCAGACGAGGAAATCATAAGGAGAGTGATCATGACAGAGCCTCTTCTCAAACAGGCGAGCGCAGGTCGAATAATCTTTGTGGCGGGTGAATACAGCGATCTAATTCAAGGAGCAGGGCGATTAGGGACTTACCTGTCTCTCGAGGCATCTCCCAGTCAAGTTCAGCAGAAGGTTTGCAGACGTCTTCTTCAACTGCTCCGCGGCATTTCAATATTAACAAGAGTCCTTCTGCATGGAGACTGTGAGCTTGTGCGCCTTGCTGCCTCGACTTCTAGTAACTCTCGGTCTCGCAGGGCATTCACGAACAATAATTCTTCGTCTGCTCTGATCAGCAGCAAGCAGAACAGCCTGGACGATTGGGAGGAAACGCTCTCGTCGAGGAGAAACTGGGATTCCGAAAACCAGAACACGTTTCTGAACTGCGACCACTGTCCCATCTACGGTAAACCCCGGGACTTGAAGTTGACTTATTGCTGGGATGACGACGGGACAGATGAGATGTTGCTATCCCAAGATTCGAAGCTACGAGTCACTCGAGTTGAAGGAGAACTCCGCGGTTCTCACAGCATGCACGAGGGCTTATCAGCGACGCCTCTCAACTCCTGCATCCTCCCTGTCGTTCGTCCGCTGGAGGACATGGTGACCCTTCCAGATGCTGCTGTCGAGGAGCTGACTGCCGGCGGCAGGTTGAGTCCGTGCTGAAGAAGATAAGCGAGTGGATGCTTGGGCCAGTTGCTGTCTACGAGATTGACGAGTACGACGACCTGACGTGTGTCCTGTGTCTCCTTGCTGACTTGGGGCTGCAGGCTGACTGGACAAGTCAAGATCGCCAACGCCCGGTCATCTTTCCTCGAGTCCGAAAACGACATGTCACGAGCTGAGAAATTCATCCGACCGATTTACAACTCGGCGAAATCCGCGTACCGGTGCGTGGGCGACTGCACGTGCCCTCGGACCCGCTCACTAGTTTCTACAGGAGGATGAAGAGCTCTTCCCAGCCGCTCATCGATACCGCCAAGATAGCTCTCAAGTCATTCAGGGGAAAATCCTCCACAGCTGGGGATCTGCTGGTGGACAATCGTGTGTCAGAGTGAGAAGAGCCCAGGCCGTGATCGAGCCTGAGCTCATGGGGTTAACCGCCAACAGAGCAGAGAACGAGCTGGGGAGGATGTAGGCTGCAGCTTAATTGCAGGAATAGTTTACACAACACAGAAAAGAGTCAATAGAGTCAACCGGATCAACGCTTCTTCACGACGGCAGTCAAGATTCTCGAATGTTCGAGACGTCATAATCATCACATGGGAGCCGCTGGCATCTCGGGGGGAGGAGCCGCCGGCTTCTTCATCGCGTCCTTGTCCGCTGCCGCGCCCATCATCGATGCCAGCTCGATCTGTCGCCTTCGCTTCCTAATCTTCATGATCGTGCTGGGGCTGGGCAGCGGCAGGTTCATGTAAGTCGTTGACGGGCTCAGTCGCGCGTTTGTGTTGCCAGGCGTCAGCTTGCCCTTGGAGGCTCGCCCTCTCATGAACCGATAGCCCTTGCCCTGCGTGTTTGACCGCAAGTTCTCCGCGAACTCGTGCACCTGCTCAGAGTAGCGCATGTTGCGGATATCTGTGCACAGCCCCTGCTGACACCAGTCGTGGACGAGGAAGGGCATAATCCTGTGAGAGTTCTTCAGGCCCTGGATGTTCTCAGTGGCGAACTCCACGAGCTTCGAGACGATGTCTGGGAGGTTGACGGACTGGAGCTGACGACAAGCTAATCTGCTGTTCACCACGTTGTACATCTCGGGGTCGTCCTTGAGGTTGATGTTGGAGATTCTGCATTGCAGCGCATGAGCCTCGATGCAGGCCTTGATGACGTCGGCTCGGTAGCGATTGGACAAGGAGCTCACAGTCTGCACGATGGCCTGGAGGGGATGCTCCCGCTGCTCTTCTGGGTTGTCATCCGGAAGCTTCGTACGATCGGTTCCGATCTGAGATCCATACCTAGCAAGAGAAGGGTCATAACAGCAGCCTCCTGAGAGGAGGATGAGAAGAGAAAGTGTTTCGCACCTGCTCGCATACGAACGAACTTCCGACTGAAGCTCGTGCGGGTCCTGTATGTTGCTCCATCGTATGACACGGTCACCATGCTTCGCCATGCTCTTGCGCAGACTTGCGTTCTCCTTGCGGAGGGTGGTGAGCTCCTCGTAGATCATGGAGAGCTGGCTGAACATGGTGCGGTTCGGGTCGCAGCTCTGAGCAAACGTCATGTAGCAGTGCATGAACGAGTCCTGCCCAACGCCGAAGCGATCGCGGAGGGTGCGGACCCTCAGGTAGACATGATGCGCGTCGGTCTTGAAGCCCGTGAGCGACAACTGGATGACCGCGCTCTCCACCCACTGCAGCCTCCCCTCAGATTCCTTCTCATGCCATCCCCGCGGAATCGACAGCGTCGTGATGCCGACGCTCATCATGTACCGGAGCAGATAGAAGGTCGCCTCGTCGGTCCACTGGTGAACTTGCCCCCTGCCGTCTGCCGCCTGCTGACCTCCTTGTACGCCGTTGCTCGGCGACAGGATGGAGGAGTAGGAGGGGGCAGGCCTCGAGCTTCCAGCGCTCGGTCCCTCCATGCCCATGTCAAGGCCCTCGGAGGCTGTGCAGATCTCGCCGATAGCCATGGAGTGCTGCTGTCTTTGCATCGGCACTCCCATCGGCATCTGCATCGGCGGCGGGATGGGCATCTCCTGCTGTGCTCCATTCATCGCCTGCATGCTGCCGTCGATCGCGTTGGGGTCATCGTCCCTGTTCTTCATGTTGCGCATGTACTTCCCTCGGCATGTCGTGCAGAGCCTAAGACCGGGGAATTCTTTGATGTTCCTGAAGTTTGACTGCCTTTGCTTCTGCAGACAGCCCGAACACTCCTCTCTCGACGATTGCGGCATAGACGGAAAGAGAGGGGGAGAGAAAGAGTTTTGGGCTGTAAACCTGCAAGAGAAGCAAGAGCGTTATGACGAACAAGATTAAGATAAAGTGTTGATGTTGAAATGTTACATTCCCCTCATCTCAGAAAACTTGAACATGACACAAAAAGTGCAAGAAATTGCTTGGGTGAGATGGCAATACCAAAACCAACAAGAAAGAAAGCAAGCAGTACAAGGCTGCCTTCAACTCAAACTGAAAGGGAAAAGTCGGAGTGTGAATTTGCAATTTCACCACTTTTGTTTTCATGCATTGCAACATTCGAAGTGAACACGGTTAAATTACAAATCAAAAGTGACTATGGCTCTCCTAGAATATTCTCAAATCGACTATGTTCTCTACTGCTCTTTGGTATCATGCTTTGCTACAAAACTCCATCCGTTCTGCTGTTCTTTTCCTTCCCTCCTACTCAATACATCCTGCCTAAACCATCATCATATCAAATAATACCACTGTCGTCATCATCATCGTCATCATCGTCATCATGGTCTTCATGGCCGCGATCGTCATCGCAAGCACAATCCTCCACTTGCTCTTTCGCTGCACCATTAAAATATGCTTCCTCCTCCACTTGAAAATCATCTACCTCCCGCCGATCTTCCCACCTTGCTGAACTCAATTACTCTCCTATCCTACACAATTCCCGGGTTCTTTCTTCTCTCCTCCCCTTCCCTCACTCTCGCCTCTTTACTCCTCTCCTCTTCCTCTCTCTCCCAGAGCCCCACTGCCCCTACGCCGCGGCACAACACCATGGCCGCTCCCTCGTACTAACAGCAGGTACCCGCTCAACTTCTGATATTTGAATCATGGTACTGATTTAAAACCCCTGTTTTAGATTATGACAGAAAATTTATTATTAGGCACCAACTTTGTGGTACAGCAAAAAAATTAACAATAGTTTTATTATTCAATATTCTTCTCTATTGTGAACTGCTGAAATGAATTTAGCCCCGAGAATTTCAATTGTGTCCTAAATCATGTCCAGCTTTGAGGTCTCGATAGAACTTTACTCAACAGGGGGACTACACCGTACTGTCCTGGCGCTTGACCCCGCGACCCATGGCAGCGTCGCAGTCTGGGCTAGTCAATGTAGCGCATGACGAGACCATGAACGACGATGGCGGGGATGCGAGCAGGTAGAGAACCATGATCGATGGGTTGTCAGATGCGCCTGCAGTGTTGTGTTGATCGAGGAGAGTCGCTGATACTTCTTTCCTTCAGCGGGATGGACTCGTACGATGACACGATCCGACATTACGTCGAGGGGTCGACGCAGAGCTTCGTCCACGTCCCCATCCAGTACTATAGGTTCTCCCCGATCCCCAGCTCAGGAGCTGTAAAGAAGAACGAGAGGCCAGACAGGCCGATGGACTTGCTTGGAAGCCTCCTGTCTGGATTCCTGGACTGCGATACTGTTCAGGCTCCCTTTGTGGGCAGAAAGCGGGAGGAGACGTATGGAGATCAGCACCACTTATCTTCGCAGACGTACGAGAACGATCTGAGAGACTCTACGATCCCAACCATGCTTGATGGAGAGAGGAGGAGCATCATTGCCTCTACCTTTGTAGACATCACCAAGTTTGTCGTGGAGCCAGGAGCGCAGCTCACGCAGTCGAAGAGAGACGAGAGGTGACAGAGATGCGAGGAAGGGAGATCATGCTAACTTTACTTGCCATTCAGGTACTTCAACAACCTTGTCTCCGAGGAGCATGATGAGAAGTTGAGATACTTTGTATGATTAACGAGCCTCTCCAAAAAAGCTCGCGGTTTGTCATGTTACACAAGTTGATCGTTGGTACAATACAACACGATCACTCCCTTGCTTCTGCAACTTCACAACCCTTGATCTGCCGACCTTGTCCTCTCCTCAACACGCAGGAACACGATGCCTTTCTCCCTGTTACCCACACGCCTCTGGTCCCCTTGCTCTGATACGACAGCATCTCCTGAGTCAGCCCACATGAGTACACAGGGTGAAGGCAAGAAGGTTCACCAGCAGTCGGAGACTTGAGCATCTCAGCAAGGACCAGCAGGACAACGTTAGCAAGCATCAGCATGCCAGCGATGAAGAGAGGGAGGGCCCCTCCAGCTCCGAACCCTAATGACAAAGCTGTGAAGACAGGTAGAGCGAGACCAAAAGAGCGAGAGAAAGAGCGAGATTGAGATGTTGCAAGAGGAGGAAGAGAGGAGGAAGAGGAGGGAGGAAGCGGGATGGGAAAAGGATCTAGCAATAGAGAATAACATGAGATGATAGAATGGAGCTCAAGCACAAGGAAAAGACGACAAAGTCCCACAACACCAGCAGCCATGTGATACACAGATGCACAGCAAGACAGGACGAGAGCGGAGAGGAAAGGAGGGGGGAGGGGAGAGAGAGAAGAATCTGTTCCATGTTCTCACCGAACTCGGAGTCCAAGCTCGCTTGGTAGAGGAAGGCGCTGAGGAGGTTGGCAAGGATATTGCCCATCCCGTTGAAGGTTGCAAGGATGCCGAACTGACGGCCATGCAGGGAGATGCCGAGACAGAGAGACGCAGCAGACTGCGCAAGTGATGGTGAGACACTACAGAGGGAGCTCAGGAGGAGGAGCGAAGATGAGGGGAGAAAATGAGGGGATGGAGCAAGAGGGTCGAACAGCAAAGTGAAACTAAACAGTTTTCAATCGTCTATAGTCCATAATCCAAGTCTGTCCATCAATCGTCCATTTATCAGGGGGACTTGGACTATGTGAGGACTACAAGCGAGGGGAGGGAGGGATCGAAGAAGAAACACCAAGGCGAGGTAGGACAAGTCAAAGAGAAATAGGGGATGGGCAGGCAAGCAAGAGACACTGAGAACAAGGGCATGAGAGTAGCATTACCTGTATCGCTGCGTCGAGAAATGTACAGCAGCCAATGAGCAAAATAGTTGAAATGACATGGATCGTGATCTGAAAGCAGTGAGATCGTAATCAACATGCTGAAATGATCAGAAAGCAAGGGGAAGTGTCTTACCGATTGTGTTGTGTTCTGTTGCATGCTGAATGAAATAATCGACAAGAATCCCCCCAGTACACTCACGACCATTCGAGTTTCTTGGAAGATATTGTCAGTGAACCAGAGCGAATGTTTCCAGGAACAATCTTACGAAGGCTTCCGAAAGATTCTTCAAATTTGGGCCCGAGAAGAAGACAGACGGCAGAGACCTTGAGGTATCAGCATCAACAACTGCTTGCCGTTCATTCAGCCCTACCAGGCTTGACAGGAGGAGCATGAAAGAGTATTGGTTGTCGTCCCACTTGAAGTGGAAGTTGACAAACAAAGGCCACAAAGTCTTGCACAAGTCAGGGGACTAGTCGGTAAAGCAGCATCGCTTCCGTACTAGGAGTGTCGTTGACGTGAAGGAGTTGAAGAGGAGGATGCAGGAGAGGAGGAAAAATCGTGACCAGTCCCGCTCGGACGGTCTCTTCGTGTCGAAGATATCCATGAAAGAATTCCTTTGCTCCTGAGGGTTCGGAGGATCTGCAGGAAGTTCAGAGTAGATGTGGTGCAGGTGGTGTTATCATGACAGTGATCAACCTTCTTCTGAAGCTTCTTCGTTGCTGCTCTGCTCCATCTTCCCCATCTCTCGCTCCAAAGACACGAATTTCTTCCATTTGCAGTCATATCACAAATGTAAGCTTCAACGTAAGCAACCTCGCGCTGGCCGAGCAGCCAAAGAAAGCCAACAAGACAAGGAGCAATGCACAATCCCATGGCAATACGATATCTATCGGCATGTCATGAGTCTCAACCTCTCAATGATAAGAAAGGTCTGCCTTGTCATGGCATCAGATATCTTCATGGCGTTCTCGACGAAGTAAGTCCAAGCAGGATAAATCAGTCGGGTGACTGCACTCAACATCGTCGTCGTTAGCCCAGAACAGGCCAAGTGATATAAAGGGATGGATCAAGAAGAACGAACATTAGCAACGATGGATAGAAATTCGGAACAGAGACAGGGAGGAGCAGGGGAAAGTCGACCTATTGCAATCAACTTGATCTGTAGCAAAAAGCCGCTGACAATAAGAAACCTGCTCGCATCTCAATCCATGAGAATCAATCGCCTCTCCTCTCTCCTCTCCTTCCTCTTCAACCGCATTTCCTCACACTTCCCACCCCTCGACCCTTCTCAACAACAAAATCGCACAATTTACCTGAAATCTGCAGACGCAAACCTTGAGAGCGCTGCTAGCGCCATGGTCTCGAAGGAATAGGAGCCAAGGCCTGTGAGGGCCTGAGCCGATTGCTCGAGGATGAAGAGGGCAGAGGAAGGAGGTTGGGCAAGGATGAAAAGGAGGGAAGGAAGGAGAGGAAGGAAAAGACAGGAGAGAGAGCAGAGGAGCAGAGGAAAGGAGATGGAGCAGTCAGAGCAGAGGGAGCAGAGGGAGCAGAAGAGAGGTGAGGGAGGAGGGGGGGGGTGGGATGGGTGTGGCAAGGGAGGATACCAAGGATGAATGCTGCAAGGTAGACCATGTTGACATCGGTCGCGATACCGCGGAGAAAGCATCCGACTCCGCACATGGAGAGTGAGAGTAGAACGGCCTTGAACATTGCATGAGTTACCTCCCTCCTTCTTTCCCGCTCTATTCTCGCTCCTCCCACTGATCCCTCCTTTGCTTCCCTCCCTCCCCTCATTCTGAGCCATCTCCTTGAAAAATCTTCTCCTCCACCGTCTCTCCATTCTTTCCATCCACCACCATGGCCACCCTCCTTCCTGCACCATCATTGTCCCCCCTGCCAGCTACCCCTACCCCTCACCAAGAACGCGCTCCGGCGATCCATGAGATAGCCATAGACTGGACTGCCTAGCAGGACGACCAGCATGACGATAAAGCCGACCCTTCCTATCTCAATCGCTGACATCGACAACTGACAAGCCCACCAGTCAGGAGCAGGACGGGACTGAACTTTCACCTTCCCCCCTCTCACCTTCAGGTAGAAGAAGCTGATCACTGGCTTCTGCAGGTTCCCCCCGATCGTCACCAGCCACACGACAACAGTCAAGTGCCTGGACCCCCATCAGCCCATGTTTTACCTCCTCTCTTCTTTCGCAGCCTTGCAGCTACCACCACGTCCATGTCCATGTCCACAACCACCTTCTGCTCCTCCTGCCTCTCCTCCTCCCCCTCCCCCTCCTCCTTAAGAGCTTCTATCACGATCTCTACACTGGAGCGTACGAGACTGGGGATGGGAGGGGTACTACCCTCGAGACGCGGACGGAACTCCCTGGGTGCTGCCTGGCGACCAAAGGTGAGGGAGAGAGGAAAGGAGGAGGATTGGTCAGCGGGGTGTATGGCGATGGTTTTAGCGATATGATTGTGGAACAAGTTACATTCCCGTCACCGAGTTCCTCGGCGGTCCTTGCAATCCAACCTCGTCTTCTGGGCCCTCATGTGCTAATCTTGTAAACTATCGAACATAAATCCCCCCCTCTCAGATTCATTCTCCG